TAATCTTCTGATATTTCCACTGAGTCTGTAGTAATTACACACTTTTCATTGTTTATGGCTTGTATTTGAATTTTTTCTTTCCTCTTTTTTATGAGGTTAGCTAGGAGCTTATCCATTTTATTTAATCTTTCAAAGAACCAGTTATCTGATTCATTAAATCTTTGAATTGTTTTCTTCATCTCGATTGAATTAATTTCTGCTCCAATCTTTAAGATTGCTTCTTCTTCTTTGGGCTTTGGGTTTGGCTTGCTCTTCGTTTCTTAGATGTTGGAGGTGCAGGATTAGAGTGTTTATTTGTTCTCATTCTGTTTTCCTAATGTGTGATCCAAAGTTATAAATTTCCCCTGAGAACTGCTTTCATTGCATCCCATAAAATCCCATAGGCTGTGCTTGAATTTTCATTGAATTGCAGACATTTTTTAATTTCTTGTTGAATTTCATCTGTGCCCCATGGGCTTCTGAAGAGAGTGTTGTTCAATTTCTATGTATTCATGCTTTTTTCTTTTTCTTTTGTCATTTGTTTCCAGTTTCATTGTGATGTGGACAGAAGATATGCATGGAATTATTTCTGTCTTTTTGCATATACTTAAGCATGACCTATAAACTAGTATGTGTTCTATTTTATGAAATGACCCATATGCAGCTGAAAAAAATGTGTATTCTTCTCAGGTTGGGTGAAACATTCTGTATATGTTCACTAAGTCCATTTGTTCCAACAAGTGGTTCAGTTCTGCTACTTCTTTGCTGATTTTTTCTCTGCTTGCCCTATCTCTTTGGTGTAAGGTGTGTTAAGGTTTCCTGTTAAGATTGTAGTACTGAATATTAGATTTTTCATGTACATTAAGATTTGTCTTATATAGTTGAGTGCTCCTGGGTTTGGTGCATGCATATTTATGAGTGCTACCTCTTCCTCTTGAATTTTTCCAATAACCAGTAGATAGTGGTCTTCTTTATTTCTTTTAATCATTCTTGGTTTGATGTTGAGACGGTCTGAGAACAGGATTGCTACCCTTTGGACTCCCAAGTGTGGGTTTGTCTGACTCCAAGTAAAGATGATTCCCGGAGAGATACAGCTAGTTCTTCATAACCTTGGGAGCTAAAGGAAAGAAGAGCATATTTCAACCTCCTTCAGAAGTGCTTCTGTTATGTAGCTCTGGATATCTTCATCCATGTCTATTTGGCTGAGATATATAATCTTATAGCTAATATTGGGGGAAAAAGCATGTAAATATCTCCATTCTCTCTTTTGGAGTAGATACCTCTTCTGAATTAACTTTCAAGATGTGATACCTAAGTAATCACCTTGAAAAAACAACATTATATCTATGACATTTAAATTTCAAACTGTTTGTATGTGGAAATCTTGCCATGTAAATCCTTCAGTCACTTACTAACAAAGCTCTTATAATCTCTCAATGAGATCAGACTCAAATCCTTTAACACAGACACATAACCAAGCCATTCTTCAGAGACATTATACCATTTTTATAACGATGTTTTCAGAAAAGTTTATTCTCCAACCTTTGATCTATGCACAAAGCCATCCCACAGCCAAGGCCAAGTTCAATAAGGTCAGTTAGCAAAGAAATCAATGAATTAGTTTTACAAACTTTATTATTCAAGTCCTCTAAACTACACTAAAGAAATATCTCTAACTCCACTTTGACTACATTTCTACAAATAACTACTGTATGATGTCTGTAGCCATGTGCTAGGACTAAGAAAAAGTCCTGAAGAGAAAAAAAAAAATAATGTCACAGGACTGTCCTGCTACAAGGCTGTATATTGTTAGATTTCTAAATTTCTTTGTAAAAATATGTAAATGCTTATTCTTATTTTTTAA